TGAATGATTTCGAAGATTTTTCGTGACTGCATGTGCCGAACGATGATCATCAGCTTGCTAGCTTTTAAGAAATGCCAAAATTACATCTTTTAATGATGTAGTGGCAAGTGGCACGCTTACCACGCGAGCGGTCCGGGATCAAATCCTGGGTCGTGAGTCGCCCGGGCCAACCAAGCCTTCCATCCCTCCGGGGTCGGTTAATTGGTACCAGACTTGTCTGGGAGGATAAAAACACTGACTTGTACATCGGCTGGCCCCGCAAGTCATTGTATAGGCCACATCGCATTCAAACGCCACTGCGAATGTACAAATGGAAGTAGAATGCGTGGCCGCACCCCATGCCGGCATTGATCAACACCTTGGTCTACGGTGGTTCTTGCTAGTAACTTGCCTTGTCCAAATGAATTAGGCAAACGATCCAATTGGTATAGCGGGTCGTGTTGTGCGTGTCTGTGCCTCGCATTTGTTGCTGTCTTAGTCAGAGCTTTCTGAGTCGAAATATAGGATGAGGTTGGAGTTATCAGGTACAGAACCAGTTGTTCTCATTAACTGTCATTTCCCGTGTTTAAATGCTTTATGTTTCTTTGTTACTGCTTATTTCCTTTGAAATTCACATCTCTCGAGAGTTTTCGCATGTTTCATTCCCTTGAATTAACCGTTTTTAAATTAGCTGATATCCTGCCCTTCTGTTCTATTTCGCCAATCTCTCGCCCAATTGTGTATGCACACAGTACTTTTTACCACATACTTTACAACTTGCCGTTTTTCTACTTATCACGCCTTCAAGTTTTCGAGAAGAAACCACTAAGAAAAACTTGTGAGCGTTAGAGGAAAGAATCTAGAGTTTTTCTTTTTTTTTCGTAACTAAGCCAATCTTCCGGCGAGAAATGTGGACGGTAGCGCGAGCCTCTCTGGCTAATTAACTTTAACCATGGTTTTCGGTTGGCATATTCTTTGGGATAAGCCATGCACCGATTTTTCATGAATATGGGGGCCACCCTCGTGTCGTGGCAGATAAGTGAGAGGATGGATGTTGACTTGTGTCCTGCGAGTTCCACGCAAATTACTGGATGAGCTATATGTATGTACGCTCCAAGCATCGCTACGATTCTGGATAAAATCAGCTGTTTAGCACACATCATACACAGCAGCATCATAATAATTCGTCCTCTATGTCTGAAACGCTGTTATCCGCTGCGCACGTTGTTTGAAGTTCAATCCCTCGGTAAGGTCTGATTGGCCCGATGCTATTGTCCAACTGATCCCGGGTCGCGCCGCGCGGTATAAACGATGCCATTTTTGGCTTACATCGCCAGCTCGTCGTGGAGCGACTCAATAACACTGATGATCGCAACACATTATACACGAGGTGCTAGATCGGGTTCGTAAGGTTGCTGATTTCGTATTAGGTAACTAACTTACTTGACTTTGAAACAACAGTCCCGCTCAAATTATTTATGTAACGACGGTCGATAATCAAAATATGAAGCCCAATTGACAGGCGCCTGAAGCCCTTGACAAGTACCTCCTCTTTCCCTTTTGGGGTAAGGAAAGGGCGTGTCTGGCCAGGTTTCTAAATTTGCTTGCTCCATGGCTCCACTAACCCACGTTTTTTTTTTTGAATTAATCGCTACGTCGTGATCCACTTAGCGTTCTACGGGTATGTACGCGAGTATCTCGTTCGCAATCAGCTCATCGTTTGCTGTATTACACGTTAGGCTCACTGTGAAGCGTGGCGCCCATGGACTCCACTTTTTGACCTGCGACACCGTCACATTCTCCCGTGAATACTCTTGGGCAGCTACCCTTTCCCGTAAGAGACTGGTCATACGAGACTCTTCATCTTGATGGACAGTACATGCACTCTCGTGGAAGTGTAGAGGGGCCTAAGACGATAATGTCTGCCTTCTCGTGGGGGCCAAATAGCGCTCTAGTTTCAACGCCCTGCGGCTGCCATTCCTTTCCGAGTTCTGCGCCACACCATCCAACTGTGTTGCTGCGGCAGCATCCATTTGCTCTATCATGATTAGATGATGGCTATACAGGTTTGGGGTCTAGCTCGGCACTTCCGAGACGCGATCACCTAAGTTTGAAAATGCTCCACCACAATCAAACATGATGCTTGCTGAAATGATAGAGGCTATCAGCATAACATGTGCAAACGACCTCCTAATTGGTTGCTAGCTCGTCCATTATCGGAGGTCAAAAAAAGGGGTCCCATTTTGCGCCTTCTTGACGGATTTCTTTGCTTTTTTCGCCACTGGGGCATTATTCAGCATCTCCACTTCCACTATGAACCCAGTCCAATCTTATCGTAATCCCTCGCTTTAATGGGCAAGGCTTGTTGAAGTGTTTGTTTGCAGTTCTGCGCTTATTTACTAGTAGATTCTTCACAACTGCGACCCATGAGAAAGTACTCCTTCCTCAAAAGCTGATTGTTTTCCTTTCGCTTCATAGTTACTCTGCAGCTGTGGAATGCGACAGGTGGCGCTCGGGGCTAGGGGTGCTCGTCACCTATCTTCAAACTACTCACGTGTGAGGCATCCTCCAGCGTGTGAAACCCGCCACCAATTAATCATCGTAACCATGATATTTTTTCTCTCGACAGACACAGCCGTTGTTGATTGGTGGAAGGAGTAACGGCTGTTTCTGTCTGGAAAAGTTCATCCTAAAGGGAAAATAATTTCTTGACGTTAGTATTGATTTGCAGTTTTTAAAGAAAAGAGTTGCAATGGTTTGCTTGGGGTTTACATTGGATTGACTTTATCATTAAATCGGCTAATTAAATAGGATCTTTTTCTCACTCTGTCATTCGTAACAACAAGTAACCATTCAGCTGCAAGAGCACTGCTAGACCTCCTATTAGGATTTCGTGGAAATAGGGCAGCAATGTTTGTTTTACGGTAACCCTCCGATCGGTCTTGAAAGGCTCTTAAGTGATTACCAAATTACACAGTGTCGAGGTCAAACAGTCCTTTCAATTTATACACCACTTGTCCACAGTGCTTCTTGCAATTCTATTGCAAACAATATCGTCTAGCTTCAATCGGGCGTCAAAGACAACTTCTAAGAGCTCGAATACGACCTCTAGTACGACTTAAAGCAACATCCCCAGTATTTGGCGACTATCTTAGCATTTGGACGAGTTACGTAACGCACACCCCATGACACGCAACGTGGATTACGGCGTAGCGGCTAATTCAACGCGCGGGTTAGTTGAGCCGTGGAGCAGGCAAGTTCGTACAACTCGTCTGGCCCCGCCCCTTCCTTATTTCAAGGGAATCCTTGTTTAGGGCTTCATCGACGGTTTTCTTTGCTTCTTTTTCATTTTTAGTCAACTCGGCATCCACAACTTCATTATCAACCGCTGTGACTTCTTCGATCTTAAGTCCGATCTGGGAGTGTTGCTTTAACTGAAGAGTGATGCATTAGCATTGATGAAAGATAAAGCATTCAGCCTTGGTCGATTCTCTTGGAGGCGTCCCCGTAGAGGCCCTCAAATGCTATTAGGTTCATGTGGTGAGTTGTGGGGACCAGCTGACGCACCGCACAAGTCAGCCGGTGCCACCAACTCACCCCAAAAGCGTTTCTTCCACAAAGAGAAATCCGGTGGTGACAATTCACAACCGACCCTGGAAGGTGAATTGACGTTGGCGTGAGTCAGGCCTGATTAGGTTCCTAAAGACGTTCGATCATGCTGGCCGTCTGGGCCATGTACATAGTCATAAAGCAGCACCAGTTGTTCCTAAACCTTTGCCTAAAAAAGTATTGTGAACACGAATATAAGAAACTCTCGAGAAGACCGACCTCTCTTACAACAGGATGAATTTCGTCAACCAATCCTCGGCAGATTCAAGGCAAATCGTCCAATAACACATTAAAAAAAGTTATTTGAGATGGATCGAACAGTATCTAAAAATTCTACGTCACCGCAAAGGCGGTTACTTGCAAGCCGTCAACGCAGCCCCCCAAACTTTAAGCCTTTTCATTGGCAGTACGCAGAATAAGGGATTTAAGGATCGGATCTTGGGAAAACCTACATCGGCTCTACTCGTTATTGCTGCTAGCTGCCCTTTGTGTCCGTCCCGCCCACCGTCCTTCCTCTGAGAAACAATCGACGCCCGTGCAATTTGTGCCCAGCAGTTGGTGTCCTTGACGTTGGACTTTCGCAACGCAGCAGAAGAGCTTGTCTTTGTATTTCCGATTACTAATGTAGTTGGTCTGAAGGACTGGAAACCTACTGAATTTTTGGGACTGGCCACATCGCGGGAGTTGGAATCCTGTGATCCATAGGGAAATGTCTTTTTTCTGATCCCATAAAAAACTCTTTCTTATTCGTTTTTATTTTAAGTGGTGCATAGCGAAATAATATTGCAGCTTCGAGCTGAGGTTGAGATTCATCCCTCAGTCTGCGTACGAGCTCTTGTTAACTGAATCCAACGCATGTCTTCTACCCTCAAAGTGAGCAGGATGAGCTGAGTTGTGGTTGTTTTGCTGTTTATTGAGGCAAGTCCATTTTTCCGTTGAAATTGTAAGATAAAATTGAGACGGGTGCGTATCGCCAAGTATCGGGGCGTTTGTGGTGGTTGATGCATTTGAAACCGCCGCAGAGCTTGTCCTTTTTGTTGTTAGAAGGCCACGGAGCGCTGATTCCCAGACCGTCGGAGATGAGACTCGCAGGTTCCGCCATCGTTTTCCCTCGAGAGCTCGTCCTCTCGCTAGGGCTTAGTCCGCCAAGGTGTGGTGCCCATCCGTATAGTTGCGATAGCGACTGAGTAGGAAGAATTTGCAGTGGGAAGTGGAAATTCCGTTCATGCGTTCAGGTGTTTTCGAGGTTTTCTTTGGCCATTTGCCTGAACGTTAGTCTCCTGAAGCTGCCCTTGAATTGGCTGCTCTAAAGTTTGCCGCGGATTGCCTCGAAAAGCAAGTGTTAGTTCATTCCTTGATGTCTCCTTTCCTATACGGTTTTGACGATGTCTAACCTCTTCAGCAAGTCCTGCCTTGATCACAAGATTGACATCGACAGCATCAATATGGACTCGCACTGCAAGGCGGTGTATTTCAAAAAATTCGCTGCTGTGTGCGAACAAAATATCAAGAGGTAAATCTTTTATTTACTCGCGTCGGCACGTTATTCCTTGTTGCAGTCTACAGACTGTTCGAATTTTCAGCCATCTGCACTGCGGCGACAGTTTGGCCAGCTCCTCAAGAAGTTTTCTTCCCTTACCCCAACTGAATCTGTGCTTCGATCGTTGTCAATCCTGATCGATATTGTTAAATTCGATGTGAGATATTCAGGCCAGTATGGGTAGGTGTAATCCCGATACATAGCGAATATGACATGGGCCACCATCAAAGCGCAAAAAGTATTGCGCGTTGATCAATCCCCGGGTCTGGGATGGCGGGCCGCACACAGCATTCTCTGTGCCATTGGCAGGAATCGGTAGTAGGCTGTCTTGTTGCGACCTGCGATGTGGGCCTAACGTACAATGACTTGGCGGGGCGGAGGCCGCCGAAATGGTACAAAGTCAAGTTAGTGTTTTTTATCCTCCCAGACAGTCGTCTGGTACCAATTAACCGACCCCGGAGGGATGGAAGGCTTGGTTGGCCCGGGCGACTCACGACCCAGGATTTGATCCCGGACCGCTCGCGTGGTGAGCGCGCCACTTGCCACTGCACCACTTCCGCCCAGACATGGAAATAATGGACCATGTATATATGCATGCTAGCAAGCTGAGACTTCGAGTTGGTCCACTGGAAACCTTGCTAAGAAGGGCTGCCTTGTTTCGAACCCATCTAAGGGAAGTTGGTAGGCATTTTTTATCGTCATTTTTGAGATTATCCGTACATCCCACCCTCCTTGTAAGGTTGGGGAACTATTTTGGCGCGAGATCGATCCGTGTTAAGGCTTGCCTTGATCTTGCCAGGGCCAACAGTTGCTTTCCATCATTTGGATAATTGGTATCAGATTCGTCGGGAAGACGATAACTGTGACTTAGACACTGGTTGTTCCTCGCAAGTCATTGTATAGGTGGAATTGCCTTTACGACTTTGAACAGAAGCAGGATGCGTGGCGCATCCCAAAAGAAGACCAACCAACACCAATTGTTTTCTCCTTTGTTGAAACTTCCTACTAGTGGCTTAGTTGGGGAAGAGTTATCAATTTTATTGCTTCATATCTTATTTCTTATAACTTGCTCATTTTAATGTTAATTTCCATTTTTGGAGGTGGGATGGTCTTCACCTGTGGACTTGCTTGTCGGCCCAGAAGTGGGGCTTTCCTATCGGATCAACGAACGATGTGAGGTTGGTACATTTCCGTCGCAATATCAACATAAGTCTTCTTTCGAACGGTCACTTTCAGAGTTCCCGATTGGCTGAGCTGCGATCTGTGCTGGAAATTGTTATCAAGAAAATGGAGCAGAGTTCCGAAAAGGCCATATTACAGCTGAAAATCTCAGGCACTGCACAGCCTATGGTGAGGATGACTATGCGTTTACTTTCACCCGTGTTATTTCTCAGTAACGTCGCACGCTGTGGCAGCATTGCCTTGATAGTGACTTTTTGTGAGGTAGAAATCAGTTAAATGCCTTGCATCACATTCTGATTCATTGCATGGAATGTTCATGCTTAGCATTTTTTTGACCTATTTCTGCACCTTTTTATTATTCTATGTTTATTGATCTGTAGTTCTCTAGCAAAAGAAGACATCTTATCAACAAAAGGCCCTATAAGCTGGCATAATCGCCTCCCTTATACTGTCATTTTTGGCAATGCATCACTGTATGAGTCCACCGCTGCACATCTGTTATCGTCGCTGCTTTTACATCCGATTTTCCACATAGGAAGTATTATGAAACAGAATTCTCTTTGCCAATGGGTATTTGCTTGTTCACTTGGATTTCTAAGAATGATTCTTGGGATTAATAAATAAAGAAATTTCTAGGATAACAGATTTAATGGTCGAGCTCAAAAACATGCTGTTTCATGGTCTGGTAATGTTGGATGAGGCTGTAATGACGGGGAGAGGGAGGGGTGAGATCACCAATGATTTTGATTGGGTCAGGCCACCTGGGTTTTGCTTGTAGCAAGCTCAAGTTTCAACAATAAGCTGTGTCTTAGGTTCTGATTACCTTGCAATTCTGCTGACAGCTAATCGCAAGGCTTTTACGCCTGCCAGGAAGGTGAGAAGGGAAGGGGGTGTTACAGGTTTAACATGGTTCTTTCCATTTTTTTTTTTATCGCAATGGTTGTACGTTCCCTTTTCTCAACAAATAGGGACGAATGATTTTAATAAAATATAGTAAGCTTGAATCTTGAGCTGCTTTCTTGCCATTCTTGGAAAGCATTCTGAGAGGAAAAGGCGATTGAGGGGTCTAGGTCTGGAAACCTCTCCACCTCCATGCATTATTTACCGTAATAAGACGAATCTAAACTTACCCCTGCTTCAATTTTTTGATGTTTTCATTATTGTTGAAACGTTGATAATTGGTGTTTAATATTTCAGTTGATTACGGTAGCAACCCATGACATTGCCGAGTCTTTAGCACATCTCATCGACGGCTATCAGATAATGTACAATCAAGGAAGTTCAGTATACAAGAGAAAAGGTACTTGTTATCTTTCCATAGTTAATGATTATTGTCAATTTTATGATCATCACTTATCATTATTACTGATTATTACAATGAGTTATCATTTTTTGACGTGCTCTAAGTACAGCTAAGATTGCTAAGTACAGCTAGGATTGCATGTTGGAATTCAGGCTTGGAACGATGCGAGAGTGCCGATATGCGGGCCACCATCTTACACAGGCCGCAGACTTCAACCTTTGGAGGTGATGGTTTCCTCAAATTTGTTACTGATAGTCCATTGATGATTCAGTGGTCAGAGTTAAGAATTACTTTTAGTTGGTAATGATGCGAGGATAAAGAGGGAACATGTCACTCTGAAGGAGTTGATTGGTGGAGGACAATTTGGCAACGTCTATAGAGGGACTTTGGCGGACCCGGTAAGTTGAGTCTTCGTTCATAGAAGCTAAATTTGATACTAATTCAAATGAAATTGATCTGGAACTAGGCGCTCATGTCCTTGGGGGGGGGGGGACATCAAGTGAGTGAGCCAATTACTGTGCTTGGGACTGAGCCTTAGGCAGGGGAAGGGATTCTGTGGGAGGATGCAAGCAATATGTGTTCTCCCTGGCGTTTCTCCCCTCCTGGGCTTAGTCCTAGTGTCACCTACCATCGGCCCTGTTGTGGATGTCCCCCCCCCCCCCCGCCCAAGGACCAGAGCGCCTGGAACTAATATCGTATCAAACCATATGTCATGGGTGGTATGATGACTTATTTCAAAAATCGTGGCTTTCGT